TCCCTTCCTTCCTTCCTCCCTCCCTTCCTTCCTTCCTTCCTTCCTTCCTTCCTTCCTTCCTTCCTTCCTTCCTTCCTTTCTCTGTCTTCTTTCTTTCTCTCTATACCCCCTTTCTCTCCCCTTCCCACCTCCTCTCCTTCCTCTTTCCCTCCCTTCCTTTCTTTTAGAACAGTCTCATTACAAACCTTCAAGTAAGTAAAGAAATAAAACTTGGAAAGAGGCTGTACTCCTTCACATAAAATGAACCTCAAGCATCATGTAGAAAAGTAAATGACAAGTTTCCTTTAAAAAAAAAAAGTCACCCGGCAAAAGGAAAAAGCTAATATTTTACAGATTTGAAAATGACCTTGGGCACGCCACTCTGTTGGTAGCTGCAGGGGAAGCAAATGGTAAAGGGTTTCTCACACAGCATGGAGACCAAAGTCTAAGAACACTAAATATATTGCTAAAGTGGAAGAACAGTTAAATGGCCGTGATTGCACTTGTTCCCGGATGCAAGATTTACTGTGTGTAACGGGGGCAGGAGTTGGGGGGAGGGGTGGACGAGGAGGACGGGGATGGTGTGGGTTCCATATTAGACTTTCTGGCTGGAGTGTTCAACAGCCTAACACACTTCCAGCTCTGGGGTCATTCTTACAGTCACTAATTATCACCCACAATTATTGATTACTGTTTAACACATAATTTCCAAATCCAAAATATGTTCTTACATGAAACTTTAATAAGACTAAAGAAATATCTATTATTAAAACTCTGTTTGCCATTATACTTTAGCTAGAGGGCTATAAAGTAGAATAAACACTGTTTCAAAAAGTGAATTTTGAAGCCATGAAATTTAGCATTTATATCCTTGAAGGTCCTGTGTCTCTAGAGTTTCAAGTTGATGAACATAAACCTTTACTAAGGTCATGTACTTTGAATTTAGAGATGAAAAGTCCTGCTTAATGGAAAGTATGGAAAACCTAATGGGCACTCCTCTCATTCTTTTGCTCATTCAACAAATATTTTTTGATTACCTACTATGCACCAAGCTCTGAGAGACCATTGCCATAGATCAGGAAGGTAGGTGTATCAATACTGGGAGTTGGGACCTATGACCCAGCAGTAGCACTGCTAGGAATTTACCCAAGAGATGCAGGAGTGCTGATGCATAGGGGCACATGTACCCCAATGTTCACAGTAGCACTCTCAACAATAGCCAAAACATGGAAAGAGCCTAAGTGTCCATAACTGACAAATGGATCAAGAAGATCTAGTATATCTATACAATGGAATACTCCATGGCAATGAGAAAGAATGAAATCTGGCCATGTGTAGCCACATGGATGGAACTAGAGGGTGTTATGCTGAGCGAAATAAGCCAGGCAGAGGACAGATACCATATGTTTGCCCATATAGGTGAATTAGGAGGAGCTTAACGGAGGACCTTGAGGGAGAAGAAGGGAGAAAATAGTTGGAGAGAGGGAGGGAGGCAAACCATGAGAGACTCTTGAATGCCGAGAACAAACTGAGGGCTGATGGGGGTGGGGGAGAGGGGAAGAGGGGTGATGGGCATGGGGGATGGTCACTTGTGGGATGAGCACTGGATGTTATATGTAAACCAACTTGACAATTAGGGGAAACTATTTAAGGGGGAAAAATACTGGGGGTGGGGAAAGAGACATAGGTAAGCAGTACACCGTCAATAAAATTCTCATATATTTTCTCACTTTTTACAGATATGAATAATTTTATATAATTATTAAAATAAATTGTTAAGAAGACAAAGTTGTCTTCTATCAAGTTAAATCTCTTTTCTAAAATTTTTAAAAATGTTTTGTATTTATTTCTGAGAGAGAGAGACAGCGTAAGCAGGGGAGGGTCAGAGAGAAAGAGAGACACAGAATCTGAAGCAGGCTCTAGGCTCTGAGCTGTCAGCACAGAGCCCGATGCGGGGCTCAAACCCACGAACCGTGAGATCATGACCTGAGCCGAAGTCGGATGCTTAACTGACTGAGCCACCCAGGCGCCCCAAGTTAAATCTCTTAAAGGAGTTAATAATAAATCGTCTTTTCCCTAATGTAAATTTTTATATCTAGTATGTTGGTTAGGAGGCCTGAAACTACTCTACAGAAAGCATTCCCCAGATATCTACAACTAGAAGTGTAATGTTGCCAAGTATATCTTCTGAAAAGTACCAAATATAAGAAGCAAAATAAAACAAAATCCACACATTTTATTTTAAAACTTTATACTTTTACATTTTACGTGCAGTGTTACTTTTGGCCTCATCATTTCATAGGGCTCATATTGGAAGTAAGTGGAGAATAACATGTCAATGTTTTTTCTTAAAATTCTTTGAGTATGGTCTTTGAGCATGATACTAGAAGCTACAACTTTTTTTTTTTTTTTTTTTTGCCAGGGAATTTGTATGGATTCTTTGATTTTAGCTAGTGATACCTTAAGAATTGATTCCTGGGAAGAGTTTCCTCATGCCCTCAAATTACTGAAAGAGGAAGGGCCACCTCCTCTTGTCCTAAGCATCAGATTCCCCAGAATGGATTTATGGACATATACTCTGGAGAAAAATAATAACAATATAAAACACTATAGAACACTTGTTGAAAACACATTGTCCCTCTTTATCTTCGGGACAGACTTGCAAGGCCACAATCACTATAGTTCCTCTTTGACTCAGACCTAAGACCATAAAGTCTGTAATTAGAATGTATCAAATACGTCTATAAACAGGTGTCCTCAGCTTTTAAGATCCTTCTCTTTGTTACACACTTTGCTACTAATTTTTTCTTTTGCAAAAATTAGAATGAGGGGCACGATTTCGTTTCGTCTTTATTTATTCATGCACAACTTGGTTTGAAGATGCTCAGGCCCCACTCCGACATGAAAAGTAGAACCTGATACACTGGAAAACAAAAAAGAAAAATGGCTTATTTCTGGTGTACAAGCACAACTTTAGCAAGAGTTGGGAAGGAAGGTGGGTGGAGAAACAAAGAGAGTTTAACAGCTCAGGAAATGGGTTGATAAAAGTAAGATAGTTGACACATTCCGCTAAAAATGAAACACTGTAAAAATGTTTCCCACACACTTAATCTGGTTTCACCTGTTATGCTGTCAGTGAAACAGAAGTCAGGAAGTCAAAATCTCAGTGCCGTATTATTCATAGGGAGAAAGGCAAAACATGCTGATTTGGAACTTAGTGGTGGGCATTTAGCCATTAATACTTCTTGGCTTAAACTGGTTGAAACAATCACATCTAAGACTCGGTCAGGGAAGGACCTCGGACTCTATCCTTATAAGCCTACCCATACAATTGCTGAGGTCCTTAAAATAATATCTTTTTATTTGCTCTTCAACTTGTCATTCCCCTAAGCTTCTACATCTTTCCACTAAAGTCCCCAAAAGTAACCTAGAAATTATTTGGTCAGATTGTCACCAAAGAGGAAGGAGAGTAGTTCTCCCTTCGTTCACATGCATGATCTCTCAGAACAGCCCAGAAAAGCAATGATTTTTTAAGTCAATGACTTAAATTCTTTCCATTTTATTGTTTTCATTAATGCTTTAAGCAAAACATTTGTCAATAGTCTAATGTTTGGGGCCCCTAAGTGGCTCAGTCAGTTGAGCGTCCAACTTCAGCTCAAGTCATGATCTTGTGCTCAGTGAGTTCAAGACCCACATAGGGCTCTGTGCTGACAGCTCAGAGCCTGGAGCCTGCTTCACATTCTGTGTCTCCCTTGCTCTCTGCCCCTCCCTAATTTGCTCTCTCTCTCGCTCGCTCTCTCTTTCTCTCTCTCTCTCAAAAATAAACATTAAAACATTTTTAAGTCTAATTTTTAATAAAAATTTTCAATGGTGTGACAGAGAGGATTCAATTTTTTTCCATTACTCATTAAACAAAGTATGTGATACCTTTGTCTTCTAAATAACTACTACTAAAACATTTTAATGCCTTCTTTAAAAAAATTAAAGATTTTTCTGAGTATTAAAACCATAAAAGATTAGTCTTTTCATATGAATTAATCTTAAACCTTTGATTATCCATACCATCATGTCACAAACCATACTTTCAGTGCCCTTTATCTAAGAATGAGGCTCATGCTGGCTTATAGAAATCAAGAGTTACATTTCTGAAACCTGTTTGTCAAGCTACAGTGAGACTTACTGTAAGAAAGCAAGTAATGGCACGTTTGGCTATCCCCCCTGTCATTTTCAGAGAAATTGAATGTTACACAAAATACCCAGTGCATGCCCTATGAATGGTAAAATGACTTCAAATGGAAAAAAAAATCTTAGCATATTCTGCTTGAAAAATAAGTTTTCAAAGCATTTGGAACTTAAGCCTTAGTTTTGTCCTTCAAATTTCTGATAGTAAATCCCTTATAAGCTAGGTGGAATGTATTTATATGCTTATGCGTTTTTAGAGAAAGATGTGGTTTTTTTTTAAATGTTTTATTTATTTCTGAGAGAGAGAGACAGCATGAACAGGGGAAGGTCAGAGAGAGAGGGAGACACAGAATGCTAAACAGGCTCCAGGCTCTGAGCTGTCAGCACAGAGCTCGAACCCACAAACCGTGAGATCATGACCTGAGCCGAAGTCGGATGTTTAACCAACTGAGCCACCCAGGTGCCCCGACAAATCTGTGTTTTAAACACTTTTTTAAGATGTTATTTTTAAGTAATCTCTATACCCAGTGTGAGGCTCAACCTTACAGCCCTGAGATCAAGAATCAAGTGCTCCTCTGACTGAGCCAGAGAGGCACCCTAAACTTTTTTTAAAAGCAAAGTTAATTACAAACTGCAGGAGGATGGTAGTAAATTATATAGTTCACTTTTCTTTTTGAAATATATAGGATCATATATAAATTATTTGGGTGGGGGAAGTTTCAAAACAGTGACAGAAGGACATCAATAATATTGCACATAATAAAAGAGTAACCACCACCTAAATATTTCATAAGCAGGGAAAATGGTGGAAGGCCAAATGGAAAGAAGTCAAAGCTGGTGTGATCTTGGAGCAAGACAAGAAACGGGAGGTGAAGCTAACGAAGAAGAAAGGGGAGAAAATGAAATGGAGAAGGAGGAAGACCCATATACATTTGCTGAGATTGAAGACAGTGATTATGACATGATATTGGCCAATATGAGTACAAAGAAAAAACTTGGGAGTCGGTCTTTTATTATAAACAGACCTCCTGCCCCTACACCTCGACCCACAAATATCCCTCCAAAAGAGGAAACCACACCTTACATAGCTCAAGGTAATGTTTTTTGTTGTTTGTGTGTGTGTGAGTGCTTTGAGAGTGGGAGGAATTGTCCTCTTTTTTGGGGGGAGTCAGAAACCCTATAGATGAAAATTTCTTTTCAAGTCATAGGTGAGTTGTACTGGCACATTTTTAAACTTAGAAACACAATGAATAAAGAAAATAAGAATAATGGATAGGGTTCTGGTTTCTAATTCTTCATTAAGAAGGATAGTTTTGACAAATTACCCAAAGAACATGAAACCACAGCTTGTACGGAGAACTTCTATTTGAAACATTTTCTGTAATTCTATAAGAAGAAAGCTCACCTCCTACAAATAATGTGCAGTACAATAAAAAGAGGTAAGTACTTTTTGCCCCAACTTGCCTTTTTGCCCCTAACCCCACTTAAAACAATTTTAAAAACTGAAAAAGATGTGAATACTAGAGTCTCAGATATGCAACCACAATTACTCTGTTAATTTTTCGCCCCAACAATCTGCCATAGAATTTCTATTGCATTTTAGACTTCAATTTTTCTAATTTTCTACTCAGTTAAATCTAAATAAAAAATTTAAAAATCCCTGTACTTTTGTATATCCGTAGCCCCAGCAAGGTATATTTACCCTATTGTTATGTTCTGGCACTGTTGTATACCATTTGGTTGGATGTACTCCATGAGTCCGTAGTGTCTGCGAGAAGACTTTCATTTATCAATGAATTTCATGCACATGCATTGAGTGCCTTTTGGGGCTAAAATGCCATCCTAGGGACTGAGAAAAAAATGGCATAAAACAATTTCTTCATCCTTGAAGAGTTCGTAAGTGGCAGATATGCAAATTAATACCTAGAGTACAATGTGACACTTTATTAGAGATTTTTGAACAGAAATGGACACAAACACTGTTGGGGGATAACTAAAGCTGAGAAACAATAGATTATACATTCAAACAATTTAAACCAAGTACTCAAACAGAACATTTAAATATATACCACAAACCTATCCAGAAGCAGCACAAGTTACTCATTTGTGCTTACTATGTTCAAGAGGAACCACTCCATTGCTTACACATTATGTATTGGGAAATATGCAATCCATATAAGAAAACTTAGCAAGTATATATAAAGTTAATTATCAGTGTACTGTGTACTTACTCAACAGTGATCTGCTGACAATGTTCAAGAAACTAAAAATTAGAAAATAACAAGTTAATAAATGTGTCAGCGAAAATAAAGTATCAGCTGGCATAGTCATCTAGATTATTATGTCAGGGAATAGGTGCAATTAAAAATTCTCAGATTGTCTGGGGGGGAGGGCGCTTGGGATGAACACTGGGTGTTATATGGAAACTAACTTGACAATAAATTATTTAAGAAGAAAAAAAGAAATTCTTAGATTGTCTAATATAGTGACCTCTAGAATAGTATTAGGTCTTAGACAAGGATAATACCTCCCAATAAATATTTTTAAAGAAAGAAAATAGATACATCTCAACACAAGAATTTAGTTGGATTCTAGAAATTTATGAAGAGGTACATCATCTATATCCCATTCCTTGGAGAGTTCTCATCACAACTCCCATGTTGTGATGTTCTACTTTTTGCATTTTATCTTCCCATACTTCTATTGGCTGCCATATTCTCATTATCTGTTTGGTTGGGTGTACTCTATGACTCCATAGTGTCTGAGAAATTACCTCTATTTATCAGTGCATTGCATGAACGTGCATTTCCTGTTCTTGAGTTGTTCTTTTTGTACATTTATTTTCTCTTTCTTTGGCAGCGGTGGGGGCAGCGGAATTCAATACCTTTATTATTGTTTTCTTTTATTTTGCCCTTGAGTTTTTAAATTTCTATATTTTAATTGTTCTGTAGTTTTCATATTATCTCTATTATCTTTGTTTGCTTTTTGAGCTATCTGGAATGCTTGATACATCCATCAAATATCTTAGCTGTGCTTTTATGTGTAAAATGAACCACCAAAAACCTAAATGGAAACTAAACTTGTTAATTTGTGGACAGCATTGGAGGGTAATGGGGAGATAACCAACTTTTCCTTAAATTACCCCACAATGTTACTTTCTATAGATCTATCCTATCCTTTTCAGTTTTCCTAGAATAAAATCCAAAACTCCAACCTACTTTATATGTCTGGCTGCCAGAACTCTGAGAGGGAGTGCGGGAAGAAGGCTGGGAAATTTCACCATTTAGAATGCACGATTTGACTTGTTCTCCCTGTGTTCAGCCCAGTGTGCAACTCTTGTGATCCAGTGTGTCTCATGTCCCATTGCTAGAGCTACTTTTGTCCAGTTCCTCCAAAGAATAACCTTCCATCATGGATGATTGCCTTAGTTCATTAGAGAAGGAATTTGGAGCAATGATTGCTCTAGACTTTCAGCTTATCCCATGTTAAATAAGAGAAGTGAGATGATTTTTCTCCTGGTTCATTTATTCATTAATTATGTAAGCATAAGGAGTTATTGAGTACCAGGTGATGAAATCTTTCTGTGTATTAATTAAGTAAATTCCCTATAAGACAATGGTACAGTTTGTCACACACACACACACACACACACACACACACACACACAGGAACTTTAAAGAATCTTAGAAATCTTGAGTCTCTAAGAAATTTTTGAAGCTATTTATCTCACCTACTTATAGCAAATTTGACACCCATCAGCCTTTATAATAAATCTTTCTACTTCAATTACACAATGTGATTTGTTCTCACTCTATTTGTGTTATATGCAGGTACCAGGGTTACAATATGTAGGGGGTTTTTGTTTTCACATTTTTTGCACTTAAGTATATAAAAGCAGATACAGTTTTTGCCCTGTATCCCAAATCAGTAGCAAAATCTGAATTGTAAATGAGGTCACTAAAGTCTCTTTTCTTTATTTCTTCCTTTCCTCTTTCATGGGGATATACTTGCTTGCCTCTTCCTTTTATGCTATTGATTGTTGATCATTCCATTTCCACATTAGGAAAACATTGCCTCATCAGCTAATTCTTTCTTGATGTTCTTTGCAGTTCACAGGGTAAGAGTCTTTCATCACATCTTTGCTTTTTTTTTTCTTTTTCATAGCTCAGGCAGCTCTATTAAATAAAATTGCCATCATTTCCCAGAAAGCCATCCATTCAATTAGAAGAACATTAATTTGCCCCAGTTCCTGCAAGAGCACAGAAGTAGTAGCAGAATGTTGGCACACACAACGTGCGTCAACATAGCCAAAGAGAAGGGTGTAGAATAGGAGATGGAAGAAGAATTCAGGATGCACAATCCCAACTTACTATTTCAAAAATCAAGAAAGTACTGGCAAGGAGACTAGGCAGATAAACCAGGGAGATACAGTAAAATGATGTTGGCTTTTGTAAGATAATAGAAAATATGTATATTGATGTCCACCCCCAGATTCCTGGCACAGGGCTCCTGAAATATTTATAATTTCCTGGATGGCAGGAGTGTTTTTTGCTTTATTGAGGCAACCCTGAATGGCTCTTGGATGAGAGCTAGTCATTAAATACACCAAGTCATGATTAGCAGCATGGAATCTTCAGCCTCAGTCCCCCATTTTCTGGAGAAGGGACCTATTGATCAATTGTGCCTATGTAAGGAAGGCTTCATAAAATCCTGCTAGTAGGGGATTCCCAGAGAATCCATGTTGTCAAACATCCACACAGGAAGGGTGATACACCTCTACTTGATGGGAACAGAAGCTCCTACACTCAGGACCCTCCCAGACTTTGCCCTATGGATCTTTTCATCTAGTTGTTTATCTGTACTCTTTATCATATCCTTTCATACACTGGTAAATGTTAAGTAAGTGTTTTTCTGAATTCTGTGAGCCACTCTAACAAATTAATTGAACCTGAAGAGGGAACCATGGGAACCATCAATGTGTAGCCAAATTAGACAGAAGCTATGGATAACCTAGGAATCTACTACAAATTATTGACATCTGAAGTAGAGTAGAAGCAGTCTTCTGGAACTGAGCCTTTATCCTGTGGGGTCTGACACTATCACCAAGTTGATAGTATCAGAATTGAGTTAAATTGTAGGCCGCTCAACTGGTGTCATAGAATTGCTTGATGGGGGAAAAACTGCATGTTTGGTGACCGTAAATGACTGGAAGTTGAGTGTTGTGACTGTGGCAGAAGTGTGAAAGTAAAGGAGACACACATAAAAGAAAGACACAGGAGGAAAACTGAGTTTCCCCATTATAGTTTTGCAGAAAGTATTGACATTCAGCTGATATTATCTAAGCAAGTAATTTCATATATCTAAGATTCAATTTCCTCATTTTAAGTTTGGGATAAATAGAATATCTATCTCAAATATTGTTGTAATCTTTCAGGGAGGTAAAGTTAGCAATAATTACCCAGCACAATATTTGGTATGTGACATACACTCAATAGATCATAATTAAAAGCAATTCTACTTTGCCTTTCCTCAGTTTCTGAGCAATGACTTTGATAAACTAACTTTAAATTATAGAAAAAGTGTGTGCTTCCTGGATTCTGGTAGAGTCAGAGGTTAAGAAAGCTATTAGAGATGGAGAAGGGGGGTGGGGGGAGATATCTTGTCCTCTAAAGGGACAAGTTGGCTTAGTCTACTCATTATAACAATTATTATTAGACAACTTTCATGATAATTTCTAATTCACAGAACAAACCTACATGGTTGGCATCAATAGCCTCATTTGATATATGAGGAAACTGACATTCAGCGAGTTCCAGTGTCTTGCCCATGATAATAAAATTAGGAAGGAGAAGATGGAGGATTTGGATGTAAATCAGTCTGGTCCCCATGTGTATTTACATGACACCACAAATTTCCTTTATTGATCTATTTATTTCTGGATTATTAATATTTATTTCCTCCTTCTGACCCATGAGATCCATGATGAAGGACCAATCTTTTCTGGTTTTGCCCATCATTTGTATCTTTCCCAAGCTTAGTGCTAAATTCATAGTAGAGGCTATGAATATTAATTGAGTGAAAACAAAGATGAATA